CCTTCTGTTCTCCCCCCCCCCACACACACCCCTGCAGCCAAGGGCCAGAGAGGGGGAAGAGTTTGGGGCAAGGCAGCCACTTACACAGTCTGGTGGTTGGCATGATGGCAGGGCCCCAGCCCTTCTGGCCAGCCACTCTCTTGATGGTGGGGCTGCCCCCCCCGCTCTCTCCGTACCCCATGGTATCTCTGCATATAGCTCTCCCCTGTGCTCGCTGCCCCCAGTGGCCACTCCCAGTATTGCCCCCCTCCTCTCTGTGTCCCTCCCTTTCGTGTCCCTCTTCTTTCTGTCCCGCCCCTTTTCAAGTTCTGGAAAACAGTCCCATTCCCAGCACTTCCTGTTTTCTTGGCCCAGCCAAACCCTGACCTTGCTGCAAGTTAAGGTAAGAGGAAGCTGCCTGCCGAATTTGGTGGCCCTAACTCTTACCATTTAGGAGGAGTTCTTGAACAGACAGACTCACAGACAGATGCACATTTAAAAATATCTAGATAGAGCTTCTGGCTCCTGGAGGGCAGGGCACAGCTGGGGAAACTGAGGCACAGAGGGGGGAAGCGGAAGCACAGCGAGATTAAGTGACTTGCCCAAGGCCACACATGCAGCCTGGGGCAGGACAAAGAACAGAAGCCAGGTCTTTGAACCCCAGGTAAGTGCCCAAACCGCTGGTCCACCCTTCCTCTTAGGAGGAGCCGCAGAGCCAGTCTGCTCCATCTCAGGCAAAGAGCCATTCCCATTTCCAAGCAAGCAGTGTCTTGTCAGCCACCCATAGAATACTGGCCTCCCGATTTTCTCCTGCGCCTTCTGCCCCTCACACCAGCAGAGACCACCAAAGGGCAGCCAAGGAAGTGTCCGTTTATTAGCGCCCCCCCATTTGTGTACAGAGTAAGGATGTTAAATTGCGGTTAATTGACTAGTCGAGTAGTCGATGGAATTTCTCGACTAGTCGATAGGCACTTCCGCATTCCTCCTTTGAAATGTACAAGAGCCACTGCTGGGGCTCTTGTACATTGCAAAGGAGGAATGCGGAACTCCGCAAACAGCCCGGGGCCACCGCAGCCAACAGACCTTGGTTTCCTACAGACCCCTGGCTTTAAAAAGGCAGAGAAAGGAGAGTTTCTGGCCAGCTGGCTCAGTGCCTCGGTATTTCCTAGCCCCCAGAACTCATGCTAAAATGAAGCGCATGGCAGAGGCCTGGGCCCGATCCTGAGAACACTCTGTCTTTAGCCACCACTAGCTTCAACTGAGGGAGAGCTACTGAAAGATAATTTCAAGCCAAATACACAGGGAAGGACAATTCATTCACGAGTTTGATACTCATGCTAATGGTCTGAATGGAGATACCAGATGGCTGGGACATTATCAACCTACCAAACAATGAAGGTACCAATGATTCTTTGTCTGTATAGTATCTGGTGTTAATACTCTTCTTCTCTATTGCTTGCTAACGGTTCTTATCGACCTCTTTTGACTAGGCAGTCGTTAGGTGTTTATAGACTATTTGTTTTTCCTGTTACATTCCAGCTTAGCTTTCCCCTTGGTATTTTTTTATACCCACTGCCTTTTCTTGTCGTCTCCCCCATTTCTTTCCTTCTCTCCCCTCCCCCTCCCCTGCCTTCTCCCCTATTTATTTTAGTTCTGGACATCCAAAGAAGTGGGCTGTGCCCACGAAAGCTCATGATACCATCTACATGTTTTGTTAGTCTTTAAAGTGCTACCAGACCATTTGTTGTTTTTTAAGTTTAACAGAGAGGAGCTAGGGAAACAATTAAGTTATCCCAACCAGGGCCACCGGGGGGAGGTGTTTCTCGCTCCGCCCCTGAAGCAGCAGGCATTGGAAGCAAGAGGTGGGAGGAAACGTGTACGGAATTCCCATCGTTTTGCAAGAACTCAGAGGAAGTCACTGGCCAATGGAAAAAAAGCTTCCAAGCTGGACGGGTTGTTAAGAAACCTGTGGGGAGGGAGGAGATGGACAGGAAGGAGAAACCCAGAACGATTTTGGAAGTTACCTGTTTTTTGCTGTGGCCACAGGCGCACCAAGCGTAACGCTTTTCTGCCTTCAAGTCCACTTGGTAGGGGTGTTTGGCTGCAATTGCTGGCTGGGGAGGGGACGAAGAGGCCCCCGAAGAACTCCTGGCCTGTGGAAAAGGAGCTACGGTCAGATAGAGGGAGCTGCCATGAGAAGCTGTCCTTTGAGGTGAAACTCAGCGGCAGGTTGTTTTTACGAGATCTCCTTGTGCATCAGGCCTGGGGAGTGGGCGAAACTAAAAATCTAAGCAAGGATCCTACCAACAGTGTCGTTAACCAGTTACCCATTTCACATCCCTAGTTCTGATTCTTGTATATGACATGGGATCCCTATGTGACTAGTCGACTATCCGATAAGCAAAAGCTTATCGGATAGTCGAGGGACTAGTCGACTAATTGTTCCCCCCCCTTCTGCCTTATCAGAGGCAGCAAAAGGGGAGGGAGAGCAGGAGCCGGTGCTGGGGGGAGCCGGCTTAAAAGCCTCTGAGCACCATCTTCCCCCCAGCACCATCTTCGTGGGGGGCAGGGGAGGCAGGGGGGTAGCGGGGACCAGGCGCAAGCCGAGCATCAGTTGATTCCCGGCTGATGCCTAGTCCCAGTCAGCTAACCTCGCTGCAGCTCCCCGCTTATCGACTTCTTTGTCTAGCTTTTTCATTAAGATACGACTGTGCTCTATGGTGGACGCAGAAGCTCTCAGCAAGAGGGGAGGTCCTTGGCTAACTCTGATGAAGCATGTGCCTTACAAACAGTGCAGCTGTAATGGTGTAAGTGGCGGGAAAGGCCACCCCAAATAAGTACAGGTCTGATATGCTGGATAACCCCTCCTGCAGCTCACGCTCCATATTTAGCCCACTCGCTTCTTCCTGGCCAGCAAGGTGGGTCTCTAGTCCGGCATCCTCTGGACCTGACCGGTGCTGAACCAGAGAATTTGCCAAACCACGGGAGGTCAATATTGTCTGGCACCATGACCCTTCCACTGTTTGCTGGGCTCTTAGAAGACGTTTAGGGGTAAACCAGAGCTAAACAACAGCACAGAACACGGAGAGCCAGGCCTGGTGGCTGTAAACAAACTGTATGGGACCGCGGGAAACTTGGCCACAGCCATGATCAGTGGACATCCGGTGAACTAACATCACGCCGGACCATGGATGCTGCCGGACCAGAGAGGTTCAACCTGTATTTACTATCCTCCCTTGGGTGGATGGAAGAACCTAGCGGTGACTTTAACAGGGCTCGGGTCCCCTTAACTACGCCGCTGACTGCCGTGGGGTGGGATGGCTCGTGCGGCACGCTAGGTTTACCCAGGTCATGCAGCGTTTACACCAGCTCTGCAGCCCCCTCCGCACATCCCCGCTCAACCCCGCCGGGCGGGGGAGGTGGTTTTGCTGTGTCCCCGCAACAGGGCTCTCGTCACACTGGCGGGAAACACATCCCAGCACAGACGTGTCCCCGCGGGCCAAGGCCGGGCGACTTTGGCTGCAGGGGACTGAACTGTTCACACCCCTGTGGGAGCCCCCCCAGGAGGTTTGGTGCAAGCCGGGCCGAGGAGGCCAAGTCTCTGTGTTTGCACAGTCCAGGGGGGATCTCAGTGGGTGCTAGCTCAGTCAAGCTCATTAATCAATAATCCCTAACGAAGGGCAAAGGGGGGGGTTGCCAGGTCATGCCCCCCCATTCCCAGCCTAGCTCGAGTCCAACCCCCTGGCACATGCTGAACCCCGAGAAATAGTGCTGGGGACCCGGGAGGGGGTTCACGGGGGGGCTGTTTCCCCGCCCCCTAAGGCCGCACTAGCGGCCCTACCCAGCGCGCCTACCCGGCAGCCCGCCGCCCTGGCGCAGGCTGCGCTCACCAGTGTCATGAG